CTGCGCATCCTTTTCAGAAGCTGTTTCCTGCTCTCCTACATTTTGTGCTGTGTCATCAATGCATCCCTCTCTTACTTGAGACATGTTCTTTTGCACGGAAGTGATCCTTGTCTACGCAAGCTCCCCTACACACGGAGGCCCCTCCAGAGGGTGGATCCTCTTGAGGGAGCACCAAACAGGTGCTGCTAAATGACCGTCTGAGAATTTTTGTCTCCGTTTTCTCGATTTGTGCGTGTCATCTCCGTTTTCAGCGCTGAAAATAAAAAAATCAGTTCTAAATTTTTATTTTTAATGGTCTGCCAAATATAGGCGTTTGGTGTTAGTGTATGCTCGCAAATTCTTCCACCACCGGACTAAGCAGGTTGAGATCATCCCTATCTCTCTGGAAAAAGAAAGAAAGAAAGAAAGAAAGAAAGAAAGAAAGAAAGAAAGCCATCAGCTGATCTTCTCTCAGCTATTAAGCCATATATGCCTCCTGTTGCCCTCATGCTCTCCTAGTTCTCCTGCCGAATTCAACGGGGTGCGAGTTCACTAGACTTTGCATGCTATCGGCTTAACTGTCTTCCCCCAAACATAACGACGCACCCTGATAATGAATGCATACAAGCTATGTTTCCGGTCAGGTGTAGCTGGAACGGGGGTGCGTTGTGTTCGGGGGAAGTAGTCGGTAGTGCTCTACCTCATCAAAGCCTTAACCTGTCTTTGCAACTCTACGTCATCGAAACCCTTACCCTGACTTTGCAATGTGAGTTGTTGTGGGAGACCACCAAAAGCAAATTTTGTGATCAATTAGCAACGACTAGTAATAACAGAAAACAAACTAGGTATTGTGCCCTAGGCTTTCAGGGTTATTCCTGTGCACCCTAACCTTAAACCACCAGTACAGGCACTGTTTTTTTTTGTCATCGTTCCGTAGCCATCCTTCTGCCTGATGGGTGGTAAGAGCCCCAGGAGATAGAAGGTGGCTTTTGTTCGATGGCTCCGTTCTATTCGTGGGGAGCTGCACCTGCTGCAAACCGGGTCCAGCGTCCCTTGCTTAGAGAGATGTTCAGAAAAGGACCACACGACTTTCATACCCCTGTAACTGCTATATTGGCCCAACAAGCGTACAGTGACTACCTCTTCACCCTAAGGCGCCAGAACATACTTTCAAAAAACTAGTCTTATACGCCTGCTATAGTGTGATCCTCATAACTCCCTGCTCAGGGGGCCCTAAAGCATCTACTGGTTCAGTAATAGTATCTGAATCAGAAACTGGGATTGGACTTGAAACTGGGACTGGACTTGAAATTTGAATACCAAATTCCCGAATATCATGGCACCCTCTCAATTTCCTAAATCCTTGACATTTACGGAGGGCGCGGACCCATCAGCCATGGTTCCAAAATTGTGCTGGTTGCTTTGGTCTTCAAAAACCTGACTTTCTGACCCCAGGTACGGAAGAAGAGATCTCTAGCTGACCTCCTACAATGCACCCTTCTGGTGCGTCTCCAATCTGACCAGATTAGTGAATGCACATTGTCCAAAACCAAGTTCATGATTCCTATATCTGAGTAGAACTTTGAACGGAACACTGTGTCATTCCTCAGCTTCCAGATCACATGCATGATGGCTGCCGTACATGCCGTAGCGACATATACCCAGCCGTGGCCCACGGCATCTGCATTTGGGAGGATACCCTCTATTACGAAATTCTCATTCCACTGCACCTGGTCCTCCACATGTTTATGCCATAGTTTAGTCCAACAGACCCAGATTCTTTTTGATTCTATACAGCCCCATCACAGGTGTGTGGCAGTCTCCTCTTCCTTTTTGCATCTACGGCATTGGGTGTCCATTGGTACTCTATTCGAAGACAGCCAGCTTGCCGTGGGAACAATCCGGTGCGATTGCAGCCAGGCTAAACTGTTCATCTTTGCCGACGGAATCCGCTTGAGACTACGCCAAAGCCGCCTCAAGGCTGACGAGTTGACATCGACTCGAGGTTGAGACCTATCCTTGGCTTCCATCTGCCAGTACAGGCGCTGTTGCACTGCGCTTCAAGCGTTTCCCAACCTATGGTGGCACACTTCTTTTCTTTTCTGGCTGGCGCCGCCGGCCATTGGGTCTGGTAGCCCCGAGCCGCCCAAAAAAAAATCTAAGTTGTCAACTGGCGATTTTCTGCAAGGCTGGGGCTGTGCAGGGGCTGTGTACTTCTGCTTAAAGCACCAGTGCATGGGCACCTGGGCCGGCGGCTTAAAGCACCAGTGCATGGGCACCTGGGCCTGCGGCTTAAAGCACCAGTGCATGGGCACCTGGGCCGTGGGCCTGACACCTTGAATTCTGGAGGCGCGAACCGAAAACGCGACCGCCCATCGAATATATCAACGGCGGGCCCAACGTTTGATGTCTCGGCCTCGTTTTCTTGTGGCGACAAGTGTCGGACTGCAAGGCTGTGTACTTGTGGTTTAAGAAGCTTTCCAGGGTTCAAACACTGTCAATAGGCAGGTGGTAACCACCATGAGGAAAGATAATTGTGGTACCCTTGCCCTCCTCCGAACCTCTACCGGGCCCGGGCACCGTACATCTTGGCCCGGTACTTGTAGACAAGAGAAATGAATAGTGCAGGGCCTGTTGGTGGTTAATAGGCAGGTGGAAACAGAAAACTTTGCTTTACCCCCTTGGCGTTAAGGGGCATTCCTGTGTGTACAAGCTGAGGTGTGCGCTTGGGGTTGGGGTTGCAGGGAAGGGAGGGAGGGGAGGGAGGGAAGAAGGGGG